AACAGATATAAACAAGAATGGCATTGATGAAACCAATGTTGATATTTATCATTCAATACAGTTCCAAGTGAAAACAAAAGAGATTTACGATCCATTGAGGAAACCCTTAATGACATCAGAAAAAGAAAGAAAGCCAAAGTATCCAGCAGTGATGTTGATGATGAACCTTAACATCATCACGACCAGACAGTCCAGGTAATTCCAGGATTATTTTTAGTAAACACTTACCACCTCACCAGTAAAGATAAAATGGTGGAAATTACATTTTACTTCAACTCATTGAGACAAATTAATATTCAAGGTTTATTTGGAATGAACACTTGAATGAACACAGAATTTCACCGGTAAAAAAATCTTGGAAGAAATTTCTTCACCTCAGAAAGTGATTCAGGATTATTTGAAGACTTTTATCAGCAGCAGGACTCATTGAATATTGGTTATGCCTGGTAAAACTACACTTCAGGAATAACAATTGGTATCCATGAAATACTTAGTGGACAAGGGTTTTAGTGTACTTGACTTGATTCTCAGTGATGGTATTGAAGTGAAAAGAATCTACCTAGATATTGGCCATGCTTGATAACATTAAATGGTATTGCAGGAGTCACACTTAGTGTACATGACAAGGACTTTGGTAAACTGAATGTCAATTTATTGTATAGAACCCAAGGGATACTTCATGAAATAATGGCCATATCTGATACATGTACATGAAACAAGAATGGATATGTCCTGGATTATAAGTTATGGTGGTGAAGGAATAGGACATGTTTTTACAGCTGTAGTATTTAATATTGACTATAAATACTACAACAGAATTTGCACTTGAAATGATAATGGATAAGGACATGTGGTGTACATTGGTAGTGGAAGTGATTTAAGGACATTGTATTGAACATTGATCATATCCCTGCAGATGATTACAGCAGAGAAACAACAATGTCATTTTCTTGTTAGTTTCAAAAGTTTCTTAGAAAATGACAAACTTTTTATTATTGTGAAAGTAATTTTTCTTTTTTCTTTCTGTTAAATAAAAGTTACATATAAAAGCCAAATTTTCCACAAATTAATAGGGACCTCTTTGCACAAAGGGTGGCTTAAATCATCTTGGTCATCCACCCCTTGAATATTCACCATACGAAGAACAAGCAGAAGACTGGGAATGAGCACCTTGAACGGCCCATGTTTTAAAATTGACAATAAGAAAGAGTATACTCAAACTAGTGATTTGGTGTATTTTTAATTTTAAATGGTAAAATATCGGCAGAGCTACAAAAACATGAAAACGAGGCTGGTAAGGCCTCGATAATGATTTTCACTCAAACCTTTGCAATTTCAAATACCAGTAATTTCTAGTCCTTAAATGTAAGAGCATTGAAACTTTCAGATCTCACTCAATATAATATGGTCTTTCAACGGGTAGTAATGATATATTATAAAACTTATAAACTCAGTTGTTACGATAGCCATGACCTTTTTCTAATGGTCTATGTTGTGATACAAATTATCCTATGCATTTCAAGCAAGAGTGAATTAGGCCTGGGACGAGACAGCATCAATAACTTCATGCTCCACTTCTTTTCAAGTCAATTAAATTTGTCTTTGACAAATTTGGGTGTGTTGTCAAGACATCTCTTGAAGGTACTGCAATTTAAAGCATAGCATTTTATGTTTATGATTAATATATGACATATTGTAGGAAAGTTTGTATTTTAAATCAAAGTTATTCATAATTTTATGGAACCAGCAGCTTTGATGGTGATATCTGTTTGTCAAAAGAAGCTGTCTTCAGTGATGTGAAGAGAAACAGTTTTGGATATCTTGACAGAAATATCTTACTTTAGATTAAAGTTCCACCAGGTAAATTATTTTTAAATCCAACTTGAAACTCTTGCATGTTTTTTTAGTTATAGTTTATGCTTAAAATTGTTACTATTAAATAGATTTCGTCACTGCTTCATTTTTTACATATTTGGAATGTTTCAATATTCTGATTAATTGCTAAGAAATTTGTCAATGAGCAGGGTACAGTATTATAAAGTCTTATAAAATGTATCTATTTCCTTACAGAATACATTTAGAAATCAGATTCATGGTTAGATTAGTAACTAAATCAAGAATGGACAACAATGAAAGGTAAGATTATGCTAATATATAATACACATATTTTAATAAAAGTATTGAAATCACTGAGTGGAACATTTTAATAACAGTTCTAGAACTCATTAATGATTCATGAGCTATTAGTCCAATGAGCATCTTCAAACCATTGGGTCACATGATGGGCCTTTGTATCCCAATAAAGCACTGATGTTTTATTAATCAGTTCTATATCAAAGATATAGAACTGATGTTTTATTAATCAGTTCTATATCAGATATAAAGAACTGATGTTGAAGGTCATCAGCGCTTTATCACAACCCAACACTAGCAAAGGTCTCAGTTTTAATGTCGCATCATAGACCTTTGCTAGGTTTTAAATCAGTTTGAATCAATGTGCAGACATGCAGTATAGCATAGACTAGCCGTTCTTACGTGTGGGATCAAAATTCTTTCAATTGTGGCAAATGCACATGCTCAGTAGAAGTTTAATATGCATAATCACTGTTTTTGCATTTTTTAGCTTTTTTCTAAAATGATAACAAATTCTGGATGTTGGAGCTCTAGAAGTAGTATAAAAAACTCACAGTCGTGCTTTATCAGGGATATAGACTATATCTCCCGATAAAGCACTCCTGCTCTTTTTTTAAACACTACATAAAAAACTAGTGTTTGAGGGATGAAAACTGAAAACTTGATTATCTCAAATGATATGAATGTAAGCACTGTAACTTTCTTTCATTTCAATATCGTTATCTCATATGATTTCTATCAGGGTTTCCAAGCAAGACTGAGCAAGTTGGACATTGGTCAACACAATGCCCGCCTCTCCATGAAGTAAGATGGTTATAGAAATCGATGGAAGTGACAGATCATTTGAAGGTATTAGATTTATTAATAATATAAGGTTGATGTATCATAAAAAGAGGTCTTTTTACTTTATACTATTTGCTATTTGCAAATCAAAGGATGCTCTGTCTGCAGTCATGCAAAACAGTTTTGATTTATTGATAAATTTTGCTATTGGATTGCATTTCTAACACAATATGTTTTAGTTGTAGTTTAAATTATTATTGACATTGATCATTAAATTATTTCTGGGTATTTGAAATATGTGTATTAAAATTTGATCAGTCAGTTAAGTGAACTTCTAAATATGGAATATTTTTTCCTTATAGAACACATTCAGAAGTCAGAAACAAAAATTATGTTCTTTAGTAAATAATATTGAAGGATGTTGGAGGAAACGGAACGGTAAGACCTAAAATTCTACATAATTTATGAATTTTGAAATCATCAAGCGGAACAATTCAATATCAACAACAGACAGAAGCTATTGTTTGATATTTCTGTGTTTTTACTATAGCAGATTTATTAATTAGTCATTAAATCATAAAATGATGCAGCTGTGAACACATTACTACGGAGTGATTTCAATTTAACATTATGCATTTTGAAAAAGCACAAAGGGAAAAAAAAGAAAAAACAGAAGAATCTACAAACTTCAAACTATTACATGTAACATGTAATTTACATGTAACAACTCTTTCACAGTCAAAAGAAAGTCATTCTAAATGTTGTTTACAAAAGTTGTTTTCCAGAATTCATGGCTGATTTTCTCAACCCCCACACCCCTTTACCCCCACATGGAAACTATGCATACATGTATTCAATGTATACTACACTTGGGCAATCAGTACTCCAACCGATTAACAGACATTAATTTGATTCATATAGGAATTACTGCTGTCTGGTACTACTGCTTTCAAGGGTAGGCCTGGAAAAGTTACGTCAGTTATTCATTAATGAATGGAATTCTGCTGGTGGCTTTGTCCCATGGACTGACTGCCCTCAGAATGGCACTGACTTGTTGACGAAGTTCACCCCACTTCCTTATGAAAAAGCCAAAGTCCAGTCAGGTGACACAACAACATGGGATTTGTCTCTTTTTGTCAAAGCTCTGTTGTACTCCGCACCGCCATTTGTACCCAAGTCCAAAACAGCTTTATTTGCTGGTTTGAAGTGTTTGAAGAAAACTAGAAATCAGCTTTGCCACACTGGCAGTGGGAAGATTGAATCAGCAGAGTTTGCCATTCTGTATGCTGATGTTTGCAATGCGCTATTTTTAGTTGGAGCCTCAGCAAACGATTTTAAACAAGTTGAGAAAGGTACGTAATGTTGATTAGAGTACAAACATTAAATGTGTGCAAAACTTTCCACTATTTACTACAAAATAGTGTTAATTAAACAATAGAAAACAATAGAATTAGCATAATTTAGCAGTATTTAGCAGTATTTGTGTTGCACAGTTTTAGTGTTTGTACACTATCTCTGTTGTATGCTTTATGATGTCTTTTTAGTGTGAGTACTAGAATGCCATGCATATATATAGTGCTCACTTCACTACAATAAAAATTTAAAAATATAAAATAACGTATAAAAATTGACGTTTTCCTCCAAATAAATTTAATGAGCTATAAATGTAGTTATAATATGCAGCACTTGTCCTCACATCTTAACAAAACATAAACAATCAAACAGAAATATTAACATTTTTCCATCCTGTATTCTATTCAGATGTACATCAGCCATTGAGAGAAGTTTTATCTCTGGTAAAACAGTGTTCATTAAAAGATGCAGACATCCTAAATGGAATTGGTGCAAGTAAGTTCTTGCATAATGATCAACATTTTTGCTCAAGTATTTAGAATATAAATTTCCCTTTTTACTATTTTTTATATTAATTTTAACAATTCATGAATTTTGTTGAGCTAGTGTAATGTACAGGGCATATCCAGGTGGGTCACAGGGTGCCCATGACTTCCCCCCTTTCAAAGACAAAAAAGCACGAAAACTATAGATTGTATAACATTATAAGACTTCTTAGTGACATTTGTTATGTAAGGACCCTGGAAATCCTGGAAATGCCCCTGGTACTGTCAAAGAAATTGTGAATAATTTAAGTTGTATTTTCACAGTAAATGACAGACTTGAATTACTTAGCCTACAGAGACCTGATTCCTCAGACTTGTCAAGTGAAGGTAGGGGTCATCAATTCAAGATTTCAGAAAGACTTAAAATACTTATAGTAAATATACATAAGAAAGCCTCTCATTTTTCATCAGAAAAAATAACTTTTCCATTAATCTTTGAAAGACCACCTCACTGTAAATGGTTTTAACCATTTAAAAGTGCAATAATCAAAGTTTGTTCAATTTGATTTTTTGTTTGAACAAGGATAAAGTCTATTGATTTCTAAAATGGTTTGAACAATGAATTGCATTGAAACGGAAAATCATGTAATTTATTGATCATGATGAATCAAGCATCAACATGAAGACTATAAACGTATAAAACACGAAAGAAAACAATGCAATTGAGTCTTCTAATATCTATTACTATCTATTTCTTTGGCTTTTTTACTTCACTGTATTGCAGAGTTCCGTTAAGATATTAAATTATTACTATTTATTTTATCATTTTTTGTTATGAATGTGTTGCCAATTTGAATATATTTTATTCATTTTTTTAGAAAAATGCAAAAAAAAACCGGAAAACTGTTAAGGCCGTTTCACACTGGCGTTTTTTTCGTGCAACTTGTGTCGCGCAAAAAAAATGTTGAAGTTGCACGAGCGTTTTTTTACGTGTGACACCCCCTCATGCAACTTAAACCACAGGTAGCCCAAGCACTGGGCTTGACAGTGAAAAACGAAAAGTTCAATAAAAGTGGTAAAACTGAATAAAATTATTTCAAACTACAACATAGTGTTCTCCTTATTTTTCTCAACACCCCTGTGAAGTTTCAGCTCAATATGATAAACTTTCCCCTACTTATATTTATTATGTGAAGTTTCAGCTCAATATGATAAACTTTCCCCTACTTATATATATAATATATATAAGTAGGGGAAAGTTTATCATATTGAGCTGAAACTTCACAGGGGTGTTGAGAATAATAAGGAGAACACTATGTTGTAGTTTGAAATAATTTTATTCACTTTTACCACTTTTATTGAACTTTTCGTTTTTCACTGTCAAGCCCAGTGCTTGGGCTACCTGTGCTTAAACATTTCATTTTTTTGTTGAGAGAAAAGTAGAACTGGCTTCTCCTTTTTTCAACATTTTTCGTCGTGACATGGTCTCTTGCAACTTCCAAAATTTTCAATTAGGCGCACGAACCCATAAGAAAGCGAGAATCTGTCCTCCTGTCACTTGTTGTAATAATCAACAAAGATGCTCGACGCCATCTTTGGCGAAAGCGATAATTTTGAAGAAGAAAACGAGACAGAAAGTGAGGTGGTCGTACATTTTCAATTTACGCGTGCAACTTGAACATTTTTTTGTACGAGCTAAGTTGCAACGGAATTTTGCTAGTGTGACATGGCATCGTGCAACTTCAACATTTTTTGCGCGACACAAGTTGCACGAAAAAAACGCCAGTGTGACACGGCCTTTATATGATTTAATAAAATAAAACATATTGATTGTTTAAGTATATTTGGAATATAATTTATTGACATATAACAAGATGTAATCCGACTCCTTTTCTTTATCAGATGTAAAATTGTATTCCATCAAACTCAAGGAAGCGATAGCAATGCAAACAGATTTGCTACCAAGAAGAAGACATCGATCAAGGCTGAAAACTGACGATATTTTCACTAATTTAACTGTCTACCAAGGCAAGCAAAACTCACAAGAAAAAGCTCAAGAAGATGAACGCGCTCGAAAGACAGTGACGAAAATCGCTGAGATTTTTGTTGGCGAAAATGGAGAAGGCGATCCAAAATCAATTTTGGTTTCTGGCGAACCTGGTATCGGAAAAACGCTGTTCTTGCGGAAAATCGTCAGAGACTGGTCAACAGATTGCATATCGATCCCTAAGATCAAGTTCATTTTTCTGATAACGTTCAGGCAACTTGTTCTTCTTAGCAAAAAAGAACTCGCCCTCAAAGAACTCCTCAATCGCTCCCCTCTACTGAACGAAACAACCAAGATGGACGAAAAACTAATGGACTACATCATTCAACATCCCGACCAATTATTCGTTGCTCTCGATGGATTTGATAAATACAAAGACCACAGCAAATTAACCGGAGACTTTGAAAGCCAATTTACAAATGATGTTGAAACCAAAATGCCAGTAGTTGCCCTGGTCAGCAAACTAATCCAAAAAAAGATCTTGCGCGATTCAGTCATCATGATAACTTCAAGACCGGGCGAAGCCAACGAGTTGGACAAAAAACTCCACTTCGACAGATGTGTGGAAATTACGGGATTCTCAGAAGAACAGGTCCTTCAATATGTTGAGAAGTATTTTAACTCTGAACCAGAAGAAGTAAAAAAGATGGCCATGGAGAAAGTCAAAGGAAGCGCACATTTCATGTCATTTGGTCACGTCCCTTTGAGGTGTTTCCTGATGTGCGCAGTCATCGAGTATGAAATCCAAAATAACATTACTAGAGATAAGTCAGTTCCTCTAAAACTTACACAGTTTTATTGTGAAGTTATTAGATGTCTTGTTAAAATTAGCAAAGAATTAAGTAGTTTAGATAATCAATCTGCTTTGTCCGCTGTTGAGAAAACTCTCGATAATTTTTCTGAATTAGCCGCACAGTTAGCTGAGCAAAATCGTTTTACTTTCACTCAAAAGGACTTAGAAGAGCTAAAATTATCAGAAGCTGAAATGTCTTACCTTAAATCAAGTAGTTTAATATTTTGTTATCCTGTTGCCAGTGATTCTCCATTCCCGCAAACAACTCTTGAATATTGTTTTTCACATTTAACMATTCAAGAGTTTTTTGTTGCTTGTCATTTGGTGAAGAAGCGCGCAATGGCGGCACAAGAAACCTCTGARATGGTGCACATATTCACGAGTGGTTTGTTGGGTTTAGATCAGGAGAACAACAACGATAAACTTATGTCGAAAGTACTAAAGTCTGTATGTAAACAAGTGGAGAATGAATGGAGACAACGTGTTGTGTTATTGCGCTGTCTCCGTGAGTACGGCCTAGAGAAAGAATTCACAATACAAGAACTGACTACAAATCGTGACTACAGATACTGGGATAGTGATGGGTGGATTAGATTATCTGGTGTAACCGACGACACGGACTGTGATGCACTCGCTATGTTAGTAGAATACACTGCTACATCAATATCATTACCACCACACACATTGTACATAAGTTCCTCACAGATAACCATTACCATGTTAAATAGATTGTTGTTATCTCTTCATCATTCAAACTCCACAATCACTAGACTGTTGCTGGTGTGGTGTAGTTTGAATGATGAACACGTAAAGTGTTTGTGTAAATATTTGCCAAATATGAATATAACCGAACTAGACCTGTCTGGCAACCAAATAACCGATGTTGGAGTGCATCACATCATCCATCACTTGTCCAGTAATCTAACCGCATTGGGCCTGACTGGAAACCCTATTTCACGTGAATGTAGAAAAAGCATTGAATTCTGCAACAGCATTTACGCTGGCCTTACATACAGAAGGACGTACACTAACACTGTAAGTATTTTTCACTGATGAATCTTTTAGATATCACTGCAATGTCAGGGAAGCCTCCTTTTTAGGGTTAAAAAGTAAGCGAAAACAACATCTGAATGGGACTCATTCTGAAAAACAAGTAAAGCAGCTTTCATCCATAATTTTTTCATTTTTCCTTTTAATTTTGTTAGTTAGTTTGACTTTGTTTTTCTCGGTTTTTATTAAGTTTGCAAACCACTTCAGTAGTTTATCCGATCAAAAAACAATAACAATTTCTATTAACCGACAGGAAGTTTCAAAAGGAGAAATACTTCGTAAGAAAGTTACATGGAAAGAATCAAGCGACAAAGAAGGCAATTCTGCAGCTAAAAGGTATGGTTTCGTAAGTTCATGAAGTTTGGCGGAATGAATAAGTTCCAAAAAGGCTCATTAACTCGTTCATATTAGTATGGGAGCTAAATCTGCAATGAAGCTTCATGAGTATCACCACTAACAACATTACCATTGCTTTAAAACTAAAATACTATGTACTTATTGATTGAGTGGGAGGGGCGTACGGGAAAATATTTGGCTCGAGGTTATTGCGCGAGGTCCGTACAAATGACCGAGAGCCAAATATTTTCCCGTACGGCCCGACCTAACTCAGTCAATAAGCATTTTATCATATGACCGCGTTTTTTAATGTAAACAAATAAATAAAAGCGCGCGGAACTTCAAGCCGGGAAAATACGGGTTTGTACGGACCTGTCGCGAAAAGGCGTACGGACCCCATCACGTGACTATTTTCCAAAGGTTTCAGTGAGAGCGCGCGTAGGGACGAAATACGGGTCATATGATAAACAATTTTATCATATGACCCGTATTTCGACCCTACGCGCGCTCTTAAAAAACCTTTGGGAAATGGTCACGTGATGGGGGCCGTACGCCTTTTCGCGACATGGCCGTACAAACCCGTATCTTCCCGGCTTGAAGTTCCGCGCGCTTTTATGCTCTATTTTACATTAAAAAACGCKGTCATATGATAAAATGCTTATTGACTGAGTTAGGTCGGGCCGTACGGGAAAATATTTGGCTCTCGGTCATTT